GCAGCTCTTCATTTTCTTTCACCACTTCCTGGACCCGCATCCTAAATATTCTCATTTCTTCCTGAAATGAAATTGATGTAAACTGTAACACACCGTGCACACGCGTCTACAGATCTCAGCTCTGTGAGAGCTGACATCACATGTCAGCAGCCACCACACAGTCGCACGCTCGCCCGGACCTTGCGCTGGGTCCTGGTGCCCTGCGCCGGCCTCGGGGAGCTCACTCGCGAGGACGGCAATGTACCTGAGCACAGGGACAAACCTGAGTTCAGTTATCCCATTCCTAATTTGGTAACTCTTTTTGTTAGAGCCAAACTGGAAAATTTAGGGTGCAATTAAAAAGAAAGCAGAGACGTCCACAAGTACTGTGGCTTTTGTTTGTTTGAAGACTTTGGAGGATAAAGTGGTTTTTTATGTAATAAAGGAGAACTTTCCATCCTTAATGAAAGCCTATTTGGGTGGGAAAAGGGTTAGTGCAGCGATTGCGGGGCGCTTGCTCCTTGCCAAGGAGCGGAAGCTGCTCTGCTTGGACACCGGTCTCTACCCTTCGTCAGCCAGGAGCCTTCAAGAAGAAGCCTGTGACTTGTTCTCAGATTGACTCTTACTAACCTGTATCTCCCTCCTCCAACATGGTTCTCAGCCAGCACCTGGCTCCCGTCAGTGTAATGTGCTGTACTTTGGTGAGAAAATCTTCAGTGCCAACACTTACTCAAGGTTTCTGAAATATTCTCCCAGCTGTCAGACATTTATGCTACAGCTGTTTATCTTCAGCAGCTTTGCCAAGCAACTTCTCCTCTTCTCACCTGCTTCCCAGACACACTCGCCAGTTGCTGGCAGCTCACCTGACTCTTTAGAACAGATTCAGGCAAACTAAACCTGGCAGGAGAGCTGCCTGTCTTTGTAAATAAAGTTTTATTGGAACAGGGCCCCACTCCTTGTTTACATGTTGTCTATGGCTTCTTTTATGCTATACAAGTGAACAAAAACTGCATGGCCCACAAAGCCAGAAATATTTATTAATTGGCCCTTTGCAGAAAAAGTTGGCTGACCCTGATTTAGAAAGAGCATTAAAATAGCCAGGTGTGATGTAATCCCAGCACTCTGGGAAGCTGAAGCAAAAGGACTGTTAGTTTCTCAGCTTGGGTAACTTCGTGACTTAGTGAGACCCTGACTTAAAATTTAAAATGTAAAGGGTTAGGGATGTAGCTCATGTGAAGATCCTGGGTCAACTCCAACACCAAAAAAAAAAAAAAAAAAAAAAAAAAAAAAAAAAAAAAAAAAAAAATAGCAATTTTATTATTAGGATCAATGCAGGGC